ATACGCATTTGAAATATATTAGGAAAGCTTGGAAAAGAACACAGATCATTCTGATTTGCTACAGCAGCATAACCATAGTTGGCACTATACAGGACAGACAGTTCCTGACTCAAACAGCTCCCAGTCTGAGCAATGTGGAGAGAGAAGTCACCAGATAAATCAAGACAAGCCTGGAACCCCCCCAAAAGGAATTAATAGATGCTGTTTTTAAACTCAACTTTCTTTAGCATTTGTTATGAGTGTTTTGACTGACAAGGTTGTGCTTTAACCACTCCACTGTAACACTTTTTGTGAGGACTCCTTTTTTACGAGGAGAGAAGGAATTCAGGCTTCCCAGCGTGGTGGTGAGGCTAGTGAGCATGGAGGAAGAATGGAAAAAACCATGAGGACTAGGAAAAAGAAAAAGAAAACACTGAAAGGAACCACGGGATCAGTACTGCTATGGGAAAGCGGCAAAAGAAACCTACTGTACGTACCGCTGGAGCTGCACGCACAACAAGAGAGCACTGCTCCGTCCCGCATGTGGACAAGGCCCAGTGTGCTCTGTGGCCTCCTCCAAACTGCTCGTGTAACTGTGCTGTAATACGAAGAGACACTTGGGAGCAGTTAATATCTCTATATATAAAACATGAAATTGAAAGCCATTAGTGTATTACTTTACACAGTGTTTTTCCAGAGGGAATATTCCGCTGAAGAATTTATTTTCCCTGGTGTGCCATTCTGTGATCATCCGGTATTATTTTTATGAGGCATTTGGACACGAAATAACGTAGCGTCTATGCAAACACTTCTCAGCTTGCTTTGTTAACATCTGAGTAGAACATGTGGGAATCTTTTCTTCCCCTCCTCCTCTTCTCACATTTATAATTTAGCCAGCCCTTGTATACTTCAATATTTATCTTTCTCTTTGACCAAGGCATCTCTCCATTTCCTTCAGAAGCTATCTATAGGTCGGATTCTCCTCTGGCTGTACTTCTTACATCCGGAAATCTGAGCCTGTTTTCTAACCTGGACATAGGCTCTTGTAATCTCTGGCAAATCACTTGGTGTCTTTGTACCTCCATCCTCTATGCACAGAGGGCATAAAGACACCTTCTCTGCCTCCGAAAGGTGCTCTGAGGCTACATTCCCGCGCGGCTGTCAGGCATTCCCCAGCTGCGCTGCTCATGGCCAGGTACAGACCAAAGAATAGCACAACAGAACTCTTTGCCAACTTTTCCCCTTGAACTTGGTATTTCCTTAGGTTTTCCTTCCTCTTTCTGGGTTTTTCCACAGAAGATTCCCATTCAGGCAGCAACAAACTTAACTCACCAGCTTCTGCTGTTATGTACACAGACAGAAATGCTACTGTAATCTGCCATGCAGGACAGTTTAAAGAAGGCTTCCTTTTTCATAAGTCTATATGCAAATTTTAACACCGTGGCCTGGAGCAAACCATGTTTTTCAAGAGACACGGCTACTCCAGCGAGAATCAAAACACAAGCTCTGTGCCTAGCAACACCACCAATTGACTGACTAGCCCCAAGGGTAAAAATAAGAAAGTCAAAACTTTCAAATTTGGGAGCTTATAGTTAGTGTCTGGATCCACTATTGGTCTGGTTGGTACCGATGCAGCTTTTAAAGATTGCACCTTCTGTACGCTTTGGTGGAATTTGTGAACTCAAAACACTCCTGTAAAAACAGGTCACTTCACCCGACTCCCATGTCTCACTCAAATTTGGTGGAAAATGACTATTAATTTCAAGAGTTGTTGCTGAGGGATGAATTGACAAACACACAGCACACGTACAGAGGCAGTGCAATTGCACAAGCCTCATTTCCTTAGAAAACGAGAAAAATCCCACTAAAAACAATGTATCTATCATTAAGTCTGATAAAAACAAAACAAAGGTCTGCTTTTCCTGAGTACCAATTACCAACAGCAAAGGTAGTTGTGGCTGGATTCACCACAATTAAATGTCCACACATGTTCCCCATTTCAATGTTTTCGCATTGGTTGAAATAACCCACTCCGTTGTGTGCAGAATACCCATGAGTGAATACAGAACAAGTTGCACTGCTTATTGAGAAAGAAGTAGCAAAGGCAAAGCTTGCAAGACTCAAAGAACAAACAGATTGCACAAAAAAGATTACACAAATAATCTAAGAGAAAAATAGCAGGCAGCGTATTACAGTGGAAACATAGAACAACGTGACCCATTTGCTTCCCACAGAGACAAACAGCACTTAAAAGGCAGCTTAAAGACAAAGGACAAAATTAATACTAAACTGCACAAAGATGAAACTATGTCATTTCAACAGCCTTCTTTTGCCCCTCCAGCCCT